CCCGAGGAAGTTCCACCGCCGCGCCGTGTTGCCGAGCGCCACGGGCCCGTCCGGGTCGAGGCGCCGCCAGTTGTGCAGGTTGAAGGACGCGTAGGTCAGCACGGGCGGCCGCTTCAGGGCGTCGGCCGCGGCGCACCAGGGCACCGCGAGGTTCGCCGGTAAAGACGTCAGGCAGGGCTCCTCGCCCCAGACCGCCGCGTGGCCGAGGAAGCTCAGGAGGCCGTAGGCGCGCTCTTTCGCGCGGGCGTCGAGCGCGTCGACCCAGCCCGGCGGCGGCGGCGGCAGCGCGGCGATCGTCGAGCGCACGTTCTTGGCCGCGAGCAGGCCCGGCAGCGCGCCGACGGCCGCCTCCCAGGCGTCGAACGCGGCGCCGGCCGGCAGGCGGCCGAGCGGGTCCTCCGCGGGCAGAAAGCCCCGGTCGAGCGACACGCCGTAGTCCGCCGGCGCCGGCGGCGTCCACGCGCCCGCCTCGTCGACGAGCAGCGCCTGGGTCGCGCGCCAGACCTCGCGCCAGGCGTCGTCGTCCGCGGTGACGCACGAGTAGTGGTCGCACTCGACGCGGAGCCTCGTCGCGGGCCCCGCGGGGTCGTAGGCCTCGACGAGGTCCGGCGGCACGTCGGCGTCGCGCGCGCAGGAGACCAGGAGCGTCGGCGTCATCAGCGCCGCCGGCAGCGACGCGGCCGCGTAGGCCTCGGGCTCGTCGCGCGGCGCGCCGCCGAGGTAGCGCGCCACGGCGTCGCCCTCGTCGCTGAGCTTCGCCGCGAAGCCCGCGGCCATGTCCGGCACGGGCGCGACGGCCACGCACGCCCTGGCCTTGCGCGAGCGCTCGCAGGCCTGGACCGCGAGCGTCGCGCCCGCGCTGTGGCCGACGACGACCAAAATCTCCCGCGTCTCCGCGAGCAACTCCAGCGCCGCGGCGACGTCGTCCTCGGGCCCGGGCCACGTCGCGACGTCGCGCGGCCGGTACTCGATCAGAGCGACGTCGAAGCCCCGGTCCAGGAAGAAGGGCACGAGGCTCGTCGTCTGCGTGTTCGCGCGGTCCCACTTCCGCTTCCAGAAGCCGCCGTGGACGACGGCGATCGTGGCGTTGGCGCCTCCGGGCGCCGCGTACATATCGACGAGCTGCGCCGGGTCGTCGCCGTAGCGCAGCGTCTTCGGGGCGAGGCCGGCGACGAACGCCGACACGCGCGTCGCCTCGCGCCGCGACGCCGCGTCGGGCGCGCCGCCGGGGTCCGACGACGCGTCGGTCGGCGCGTCCCGCCGGCCGGCGACGAGGCGCGCGGCGACGGCGCGGCGGGCCCCGGCGAAGCGGCGGCCGACGCGCGCCGCGAGGCTCGCGCGCGGATACCGCAGCGCCGCGTAGTGGCCCTCGCCGGCGCGTTTCGCGCGGTCCGCGAGGTAGGGGTTCCGCGCGACGTCGGAGGCGTAGGCGTCCAGGTCGACGACCGCGCCGACGCGCCTGCCGCCGACGAAGGTGCCCGCCCTCGCGAGGTCCGCGCCGGCGGGGTCCACGACGGCCGAGCACCCGCAAAAGGCGGCGACGCCGCGGTCGCCGGCGGCCGCGAGGCCCTCGAGGTTCGCGTAGACGACGGTGACGTGGTTCTCGAGCGCGCGCGTCGGCACCACCTTGCGCGGCGTCAGGTCGTCGACGGGGCCCGCGCCGAGCGCCGTCGCCGCGAGCAGCAGCTCCGCGCCTGTGTGGAATTCAACCACTGGTTTGGGTGGTCCTGACCAAACTTGAGAATTCTCTAGCTCGGTCAAATCGAAGTCGATTCGGCTGATTTTTGGATGAATCGATTGCTCTCGTCGAGTTCTCGAAGCACAGCTGAAAAGCTTGCGTCGAAACTGTCGCATATGCGCACATTGAAGTCGGGTTGAAGATTTGAATTCCACACAGCTCCGCGCCCGCGACGGCCAAGTGGCGCGCGGGCTCGGGGAACTCGACGTCGAAGCAGATGAGGCAGCCCGCCCGCACGGTGAGACGTCTCGTCTCGAGGTCGAAGGGCTCGAAGGAGCCCGGCGCGCCGGGCGCGAAGACGTCGCGCTCCCAGGCGCCCCACAGGTTGACCTTGCGGTAGTTCCTCGCGAGGGCGCCGCGCGCGTCGAAGACGGCCATGGCGTTGTAGAGCCTCGAACCGCGGCGCTCGCAGTACGGCACCGCGAGGCAGAGCTCGTGCGCCTCGGCCGCCGCCGCGCACGCGCCGAGCTCGTCCCGCCGCAGCGCCGTCGCCTCGAGCTGGTCCTTCGTGGCGTCGTAGCCGTGCAGGAACAGTTCCGGGAAGACGAGCACGTCCACGCCCGCGGCGGCGGCGGCGGCGGCCTCGTCGACGACGCGCGCGACGTTCGCCGCGACGTCCGCCGTCTTCGCGGCGCCCTGCCAGGCCGCGACGTGCAGCCGGCGCGGCGAGAGGCCGCGCGCCAGCGGCAGCAGCAGCGCGATTGTTGCGACGAAGCGTAGCATCATCTCGTGCGGCCGCGATTAGCGCTGGTCAGCGCGACCACCGCTGTGTAGCGGCAGAAATGCCGCCATTTGCAATCAATTTTGCAGAGCTTCAGCTTCTCTGCATCATGAAGTCGCCAACTGTTGCAGTTCTTATAGGCATCCGTGATCCGCAGTTGCACATTTATCGAACCTGGCTGGCTCTGGTGCGTTTTACAATCTATTATCATGGCCGCGGGCGGCAGCGGGCTCGGCGCCGTCCGCGGACTCAACGATGTTAGGAGATGTCCGAGTCGGCTACTCGAAGCGCTGACAGCGCTGTGGCTGACCTATAGCCATCCCGCCGGCCGCGGCGGGACATATTGGGCTCTTTATCCCGCTCGTAGCCACCTCACCAAGAACGCATGGGGTCGGTCGCCCACTCAGGGACGTCCTCTGCCCTTACCGCCGCCGGGCAGGGCGCCCCCCTACTTGTGGCCGTCCTTGGACTCGGCCTCGTCGTTCCGTTGTTTTCGGATCCTCTTGGCCTCGTTCATCATGAGGACGATGAAGGTCTCGTACTCCGTCGTCGCGAGGAGCGCCTCGAGGAAGAAGCGGTTCGGGTCGAAGTCGCTCGCGTTCTCGAGCGCCTCGCGCGCGACGGCCATGAAGTCGCCGACGGTCGCGCCGGCGGCGACGATGTGCTGCTCGACGCGCCGCTCGAAGTGTTCGAGGTAGACCTTGTAGGTGTCGTAGAAGGAGTGGCTGTGGTCGCCGCCGTCGGACGTCGGCGACTCGCCCTTGACGAGCGCGTCGAGGAAGGGCTCGATGTGCTTCTCGGCGAAGGTCTCGAACTCGCGCACGAACTCGGCCCCCATCAGGACCTTGCGCACCTCGCCGATGAGCCCGTCGGCGCCCATCTTCCGCTCCTCCTTCTCCTCGCCGCCCTTGCTCTCGGACGGCATGGTCGTAAAATGTGAGCCGAAGACCGGCGGCCGGGGCAGCTCCGCGCGCGCCCTTCGGTGAGACGGCTACGCCGCGCCGCCGGCCAACGGGTCTGGACGACGTGAGGAGCGCCCGCGACGGGCACGTCGCCGCGGCGGCGGCAGCTACAAGCGCGTCGCGCGGCAGCAAGGGCAGCTAGGGTAGGCATGATGTTGACCAAGATTGATGTTTGCAGAATGATGAAGGTGAACCCCGTCATGATGGACGATCCCTGATGTTCCCATCCTTCCTGCAGCCCGGGTCGACGGCGGCGGACACGGACTCGTACCCGTTCCTGTCGTCGCTCTTCTTCGTGCCGAGCCAGAACACGCAGCCGCCACCCTCCGACGATGCGGCGCCCCGGGGCCTCGTGGCCAGGATGCGGCTCGGCGGCGCGGCCCGGGACGTCGCCGACGAGGTCGTCGTCGAGCTCCACGGGTCGCGGACCTGCCGCGTGCGCGGGCGCGCCGGCGCCGTGCTCTTCGCCGGCGAGATCTCCAGGGCGACGCTCGTGCCGGCCGCCTCGCGGGGCTCTCGGCGCGCGGACGTCGTGCTCGAGGGCCTCGGCCCGCGGCCCGTCAAGCTCTGGCTCCCGGGCGCGCCCGACGACGCGCGCACCTGGCGCGACGCCTTCGGCGACGAGGCGCCGGCGCCGGCGCCGGGGCCGGGCCGCGACGGAGGCGCGCGGGGCCTCGAGGCGAGCGCCGCGTCCGCGTGCGCCGTCGCCGCGCTGGCCCGCCGCCTCGAGAAGCGCGCGCTGCCGCCCGGCTGGCGCCGCGCGACGGACCCGGCGAGCGGCCGCGAGTACTACTACGAGGTCCGAAGCGGCGAGACGACGTGGACGAAGCCGTCGTCGGGGCCGCTCGACGCCGCGCGTGACACGACGGCCCCGGCCACGTCACACCTCTCGAGCTCGGTCGAATCGAAGCCGTTTCGGCCGATGTTTGGACGGGTCGGTTTCTCTCGGCGCGTTCGTTTCAGAGGGCTGAACAACTCTGTCGAAATCGTGTCGTGTTGCATGTTTTCGGTTTCCCGCCCAGGCTCGACGAGGCCTGGGACGTCGCGACGGACGCGGAGGCGCCCGCGCCGGACGCCGTCGCCGACGCGCACCGGGAGCTCATACGCGACGCCCTCCGCGCGGACCTCGAGGCGCTCCTCGACGCCGCGCGCGCGGCCGACGACGACGCGTTCGACGCGCGCGCGGCCGCGGCCGACGCGCCGTTCTACGCGGCGCTCGCGCGCGACTGCCGGGCCTGCCCCGCGCTCGTCGACGCGGCGGACCCGGGCGCCTGGCCCGCGGCCGTCGACGCGCTGCTGGCGCGGCTGCCGACGCTCGTGGACCGCGCCGCGGCCGTCGCGGGCTCGGACGCGCGCGCCTATCTGGTCGAGGCGCTCGCGGAGCCCGTCTACTACCTGTCGCGGCGCGCGGCGGCGGGGCCGGACGACGGCGCCGACGACCCCCTCGCCGACGCCTTCGAGGCCGCGTCGGCCGCCGAGGCCATGGACGAGCCGCGCCTCGCGGCCGCGTTCTCGGCCGCGCTGCGCCGGGCCGTCGCCGGCGGCGCGGGTCGCGCGCCGGAGCTCCTCGAGGCGCTCGCGAACGCGGACGACGCGTCGGAGCTGCCGGCGAAGTACGGCGCCGTGCTCGGGGTGCTGCGGCCCCTGCTCCTCTGCCGGGCCGCGGCCGCGCTCCACGACCCCCAGCGGCGCGCGACGCTCCGGCGGTCGCTCGCGATCTTCCCGAAGCGGTCCGTCCTCGCGCTCGCGCGGCTCGGCGCGCTGCCGAGCTCGCGGCCCTTCTGCGCGACGTTGGCGGGCCTCTTCGTGAAGCCGTCCTTCGGGGGCCGCTCCGTCATGCAGCGCCTCGCGACGCAGTCGCTGGGCATGCCCGACGCGTACGCCACGCGCGACGGCTGCCTGCGGACCGCGAACGACCCCCGCCTCACGGCGAAGGCGCTCCGGGCCGAATTCGACGACGACGAGCTGGCGCAGCGCGCCGCGGCCCTCGACGACGACGCGGCGGCGCCGCCGCCGAAGTGGCTCGCCTACACGGCCGTCGACGAGGCGTTGGCGAGGCTCCGGGGCGACCGGCGGCGCGCGGCCAAGCGCGCGCTCGACGTCGACCTCTACCTGCGGGGCGCGGAGCGCCTCGTGGCGGCCTACGGCGACGACGCCTACGTCGACTTCTTCGTCCAGCTCTACCCGTCGCTGCTCGCGCCCGTCGGCGGCGCGCTGCAGGATCCGACGCTCGGCGGCGCGGACGCGCTGGAGGCGGTCTGCGACGCCGCGGCGGCGGCGATCCGCGCGTTCGACGACGACCGGCGGTCCACCGCGGACCAGCTCGCGGCCCTCGACGCGGCGCTCGGCCGCGCCATGGGCGCGGTCTTGGGCTTCGGGCACCGCCTGGCGCTCCACGAGGCCCCGGCGTGCGGCGCGCTCGCGGACTGGGCCTCGGCCTGCGTGGACGGCTGGCGCCTGGATCTCGACGACGGCGCCGTCGCCGAGGCCCTCGCGCGGTCCCCGAGCACCGACGAGGCGCTCAACCGCGTGGCGCCGACGTACACGGAGGACTTGGCCTCGCAGTGGCGCGGCCGCGACGGCGCGGCCGCGCGGGACGCGACGGCCGCGCGCCGCGCGGCCAAGCCGCCGACGCCGCGCGTCGCCGACGACGACCCCGTGTCCTTCGTGCGGGTCTGCGCCACGGGCGCGTTGGCGGACCTCGGCTACGTCGCCGTCGCGCCCTCGGTCTTCGCGGCGCCGCTCTACGACGGCGTGGACGGCGCGCCGGACCTCGCGCCCGTGTCCGCGCTCGCCGAGGCCGACGTCGCGCGCGGCGACGCGGCGCTCCGCGGCGCCCGGGACCGCGGCTGGCTCGTCGCCGGCGCGCTGCCGCGGCCGCGCTTCGACCTCGCGCCGCGGACCTTCCTCGTCTACCGCCGCGACGCGCACCCGGACGCGCGCCACGGCGTCACCTTCGGCGACCTGCGGCGCCTGCTTAGGACGACTTAGGGCGGTAGGCCCTCGAGGAGCGCGTCGAGGCGCAGCGGCACGCGCGCCGTCTCCTCCTCGGAGGAGTTGTCCCCGCGGTCGAGCTGCGTGTTGATGGACTCGATGGCCTCGATCGTGCGGACGCGCTCCGTGAGGATCTCCTGGATGCGCTGCTCGCGCTCGAGCTCGCCCGTGACGTCGCGCGGCGCCTCGGCCGGCGCGGCGTCGGCCGGTGGTGGCGGCGGCGGCGGCGGCGGCGGCGGCGGCGCGGCGGCGTCGTCGCGGGCCCGGTCGAAGAGCGACGCGACGTTGTTCGCGAGGTTCGCGTAGCGCCGCTGGAGGTCCGCGGCGACGGTCTGGAGCGCCGACACGCGCGCGTCGCGCGCCGCGGCGTCGTCGAGCGCGCCGCGCTGGCTCGCGTCCCACTTCTTCGCCAGCTCCTCCTGCGCCTGCTCCATGACGTTGAGCGCCTGCTGCGTCAGGTTCGCGACGGCGTCGACGTCGCGCTGGAGCCGCTCCACGTCCGGGCGGCCGTCGTCGTCGCGCTTCTCGCGGCGCTCGAGCCGCGCCGCGAGGGGCTGCAGCTGGAGCTCCGTCCACTGCCGGAGCTTGCGCTCCGCGTGGTCGACGAGCTCCTTGGCGTCCTTGGCCGCGTCGTCGCGGCAGCGGCGCGCGGCGTCGTCGACGGTCTTCGCGACCGCGGCGAGGTCCGTCGCCGGCGGCGGCGGCGGCGGCGCGTAGGCGCCCGCGGCGGGCGCGGGGCCGTCGCGCTTCGCGGCGTCGAGCACCTCCAGCGTCGACTGCGTGAGGCGCGTCAGCGTGGCGACGTCCTGCACGAGCGCGTCGTACTTGTGGCGGTCCTCGTCCGCGCGCTTCTTCCCGCGCTTCGAGATGTCCGCCGCGGCGGCCGCGGCCGCGCGCGCGTCCTCGGCGGCCTTGGCGGCGACGCCCGCGGACCCGCCGCCGCGCTCGATGGCCTCGAGGCGCGCGGCCAGGGAGCTGAACTTGGCGTCGTCGAGCGACGACGCCTCGGCCTCCTTGAGCAGCTTGTCGTCCTGGGCCCGCCGCTTCTCGGCGGCGACGTCCTCCGCGACGTTCGTCGCCGCCTGCTTCGCCGCCGCCGCGCGCGCGGCGACGTGGCGCACGGCCTCGCGCACCTTCTCGAGGCCGTCGTCGAGCGCGACGGAGCGCTTGCCGTAGTCCTCCAGGCGTCGCTGCGCGACGGCGACGTCGCTCGCGAGCTTCGCGCGCTCCGCGCTCGTCGCCGACGAGTCCTTGAGCGCGACGGAGAGCTTCGCGTCGCAGGCGGCGACGGTGCCCCGCAGGGACTCGGCGACGGCCAGCGCGTCGCGCGCCTGCGTCGCGGCGTCGTCGACGCGGTGGCCCAGCGTCTGGTTCAGCCGCTCCTCCAGCTCGCCGTGCGCCGCGCGGAACTCGGACGACGCCGCGGCGACGGCGTCGCCGACGCGCTCGTCGAGCTTGCCGAGGCGCAGCCGCGTCTCCTTGTCGCGGTGGCTCAGCCGCCGGAGCGTCTTCGCGATCGCCGCGAACGCCTTCCGCTCGGACTCGCCCGCGGCCTCGACCGCGTCGTCGTCGTCGTCGCTGCGGTCCGCCTGCTTCTTCGGGACCGCGGCCTGGGGCGTCGTCGCCCCGTCGCAGGCCGTGAGGACGTCGGCCATGGCGCCCTCGTCCGCGAGGCGCTTCCGGTCGGCCTTGCGGCGCCGCTTCTCCTCCTCCGCGAAGCGGCGCACGATGAGCGACGCCTCGTTCGCCGCGGCCTCGCGCGCGGCGTCCTTGGCCTTGCCTTCGACCTCGGGGAGGCGGTCGCGCCAGAACGAGGGCAGGTCGACCTGCAGGAAATCGAGCTTCGTCGACTCGGCCTTCTCCGCGGCCGTCTTGGCGACGGCTGCCAGGGCCGCGGCGTGCTCCTCGCGGAGCGCCGCCTCGAGCGCCCGCTGCGCGTCCTCGACGTCCGCGGCGGCCGCGCACGTCGCCTCGAGGCCGTCCACGCGCTCGTTCAGCTCCTCCGCGACCTTCTCCGCGGCGACGCGCGCGAGGCTCGCGGCCTCGGTCGTCTGCGCGGCCTGCGCCGCCGCCAGGTCCTCGCCGAGCTTCGCCGCGGCGTCGTCGAGGGCCCGGGAGCACCGCGCGACGTCCTGCGCGGTTTTCCGCTCGCCGGCGGCGCGCGCGTCCTCCTCGCCGCGGAGCCCGTCCTCGAGGGACCGGCGGCACGCGTCGACCCGCGACCCGGCGAGGCGCTCGAGCTCGCGCGCGAGGCTCTCGGCCGCGGACGTCGCCGCGCCGCGGCCGCCGGCGAGCACGAGCTCCGACGCCGTCGCCGCGCGGTCGCCGTCGCCGTCGGCCATCTTCGACACGGCGTCGCGCGCGCACTCGAGGGCCACGGTGGCGCCCCGATCCACGGCGGCCTCGAGGCGCGCGGGCTCCTCGGCCGCGGACCGCTCGAGCACGGCGACGCGGAGGCGTAAAGCGTCGACCTCGGCGCGACAACTCTTGAGGCTCTGGCTCGCGCGCGCGGCCTCCTCGCGGCGCGCGGCGCCGTCGCTCCCCAGGCTCTCGCCGAGCCAGTGGCGCTGGGCGTCGAGGGCCTTCTTGAACTGCTTCCGCGCGTCGTCGTCGCGCCGCGCGACGCCCTTGGCGATGGCCTCGGCCGTGCGCGCCGCGTCGCCCCGCAGCCGCCGCTCCGCGGCGTCGAGCCGCTTCGCGACGTCGCCGGCCGCGCCGACGCCCGCCGTCGCCACGAGCCGCTCGACCTCGTCGCGCGACGGCCGCCGCGCGAGCTCGTTGACCGTCTCCTCCGCGCGCTCCGACGCGCTCTTCATCGCGCCGTCGGCGAACGCCGCGGCCTCGCGGCGGCACTCGAGCACGAGGCCCCGCGTCTCCTCGACGGACGCGCTCAGCGCGTCCCAGCGCTGCTCGAGGCGCGCGGCGTTGCGCTCGAGCTGCTCGCGCTTCAGGCGCCCGTCCTCGAGGAGGCGCCGCTGCTCCTCGCACTGCTTGAAGAGGGCCTTCATGCCGGACCGCACGCACGACGGCACGCCGACCCACTGGTGGGCCTCGGGAGGGTCCACGTTCGACGACACCTCTCGCAGCGCTGCCGCGCGCGGCGCGCTCATGACTATGGCTTCGGGTGGAGCACTGCGACCATAACCGGATGTGCACCACAGGTGCTCCCAGAAACATTGAATCGATGGTGCCGGCGCGACGTGTTACTCGCGCTATCGGTAGCCCCGGTCGTAGGCGAAGCGCCGGAGGAGGCGCGCGTCCGGGAGCCGCGCGAGGGCGGCGAGGTCGGCCTCCGACAGCCCGGCGCGCCGCAGCGTCGCGTTGCCGTAGCGGCGGAGCGCGTCCCCGCGCGACGTCCGCGCCTTGTCCGCGTGGCCGCGGCCGCCGTCCTTCGCGCTCGCCGCGACGGCGTCGAAGGCTGGAGCCATGTCGCCGCCGACGCAGGCGCAGATCGCCGCGACGGTCGCCTCGCCGCGCCAGAGGAGGTCCTCGTAGCGCACGAGCAGCCGCGGCGTCGCCGCGTCGAGGTACTCGCCGTGCCACGCGGCCCAGAGGTCGAAGAGGCTCGCGTAGGTCCGCGGCCCCGCGGGCCAGGGCGCGGCGACGTCGCCCACCGCGGCGCAGGCGCCGCCGGCGAAGCGCAACGCGTAGGGCTCGCGGCACACGGAGCCGACCCACGCGAGCGGGTCCTTGGCGACGACGACGGGCAGCACCTCCGACGAATTCACGCGCTCGTAGCTCGGCGCGCGGTGGCGCCCCGCGTGCGAGTAGGGGTTGTGCTTGCCCCAGGGCACCTGCGGGAGGAACGGCGCGCAGCCCGCGAGGAGCCGGTCGCCCTTGCGCGTCCCGTGGAACGCGGCGAAGAGCGCGATCTCCGCCTCGACCGCGGACGCGTCGGAGTGACCCGGCGCGCCGCGCGTCGCGACGCCGGCGCACTCGCGCGGCAGGACGCAGTTCGCGCGGAGCAGCTTCGCGAGGAGGTTCGTGCCTGGGCAGCAAAAGGGTGATTCAACGTCGCTTCAACGTGAGTGTTCCGCGCGCGCGCGTTCCGGGAAAAGCATCTACGCTTCGAGACCGTTCCGAGAGATGATCGCTCGTCCAAAAATCAGCCGAAACGAGTGGAAAACGGCCGAGATAGGAGCCTTTGAAGTTGGGAATTTCGCTCTCTTTTGCTGCCCTGGTTCGTGCCGGCGTCGAAGAGGCCCGCGACGGCCGGCCGCCGCGCGTCGGAGCTCGCCGCGCGGAACGCGGCGCAGCGCTCCAGGCCGTCGACGATGGGCGCGCCGCTGCCGTCGTCGTAGAAGGCGGGCATGGCGTCGCGTCGCTCCGGCGGCGCACCCGTCGTCGGCGGCGGCGCGGGGTGCGCCGCGGCCTCGGGCTGCTCCGGCGAAGAGGCGTCGAACCGGATGAAGGTCGCCAGGCACAGCGCCGCGATGCACGCCGCGAGCAGGACCGGCAACCTATCGCGCAGCATCGATCAGGCTGGGAGGCGCCATCGGCGGCGGGCAGCCTGGTTGAAGGCCTGGTTGAAGTTCAACATCATCGTCTCGAACTTCGAGAGCGGCTTCCTCGAGTCGAGCGCCTCGTCCGGCTCCAGCGCGCCCGCGCGCCCATTTGCAGTCCGTTTGCAGCAGCTGCTTGCGCACCAGAACGCAGCAGCTGCGCGCGCAGTTCAAACGACGCAATGGTCTGGGTCGACGGCCTCATGGTCGCCGTGGGCGCGACGATCGGCGGCCTCGCGCGCAAGGGCATCGTCGACGCGGCCGGCGCGGCCATCGGCCCCTGGCACATCGCCGCCATCAACATCGGCGGGTCGGCGGTGCTCGGCGCCATCGCCGCCGACGAGGACATGCACCCCCGGCACAAGCTGCTCCTCGGCGTCGGCGCGTGCGGCGCGTTCACGACGTTCAGCACCTTCGCCGTCGACGTCGTCGCGCTCGTCGAGGCGGAGCAGCTCGCCAAGGCCGCGGGCTACGTCGCGCTGAACAACGTCGGCAGCATCGGCGGCGCCTACGGCGCGTTCAAGGCGCGCCGCGCGCTCGCGCCGCCGAAGGCGCGGCCGCCGCGGGGCCCGGCGCCCTAAAGAAAGGCGGGCTACTCGAGCGCGTCGTCGCCGCGCGCCGTCGCCTCGGCTTCGAAGGCGACGCCGAAGTTCGACGCGGCGAAGAAGAGCGCGTCGCGGTGCGTCGGCCGGAGCCAGTCGAGGAGCGCGCGGGGCAGGACGCCGAGGGACGCGAGCTGGGCCCCGACGAAGGCCTCGCCGTCGTCGAGGAAGGGCGCGCCCGCGAGGGCCGTCGGCGCGCCGACGTGGCACGCGCAGTAGAGCTCCGCGGCGTTGTCGCGCGCGGCGAGGACCCGCGCGACGACGGCCGCGGGCGGCGCGCCCTCCGGGTCCGCGTCGGCGACGCGTCGGGCGACGGCGCGGTGCTGCTCCCGGACCTCGACGCGCGCGGACGCGCCGCTCGCGGTCTTGTCGTAGAAGTAGAGCCAGTTGCGCGCGTCGCGCGGCGCGAACGCGCGCGACGCCTCGCGGCTCGTGAGGTAGCGGTACCACGCGACGTCGCAGTACTGGCACCGGCGCAGGTCTTCCGTGGCGACGGCGAAGAAGGCGTCGAGGACGCGCCGGCGGCAGCAGTAGGAGAAGTACTCGTCGTAGGCGTCCGTCGTCGCCGCGCGGCCCGCGGCGACCGCGGCCGCGACCGCGGCCGCGTCCGCGGGCGCCGCGGCGCCGCCCGCGGGCCGCGCGAGCCGCGAGCAGACCACGCAGGACGCGTCGGCGCGCGCCGCGTTGGCCGCGGCGCGGTACGCCGTCGCGCGGTCCGGGTGCCAGACGTCGTCGTCGTCCGAGAAGAGGACCCACGCGTCGCCGTCGCCGTCGCCGCCGAGCGCGAACGCGAGGCGCGAAAAGTGCTCGAACTGGCTCGCCCGGCCCTCGACGCGCGACGCCGCGAAGCCCGGGATGCGGCTCGTGAAGAAGTCGACGACGGCCGCCGCGTCCGCCGCGACGGCCGCGTCCGCGGACCACGACAGGTAGACGCCGTCGAGCGCGGCGCCGTCGACGGACGCGAGGCACCGCGCGAGCTTCGCCACGCGGTCCTCGGAGCCGACGTGGGACGCGAGGAAGGCGACGAGCTCGAGCGGCGCGTCGTCGGGCGAGCCCGCGGCGTCGTCGCCGAGGCACGCCCACGACGCCGGCGCCGGCCGCTCGGGCTGGCGCCGCGCGCAGCCGGCGGCCGCGCTCGCCTCGACGTGGTTTCGGACGGTCTTATAGAGGGCCGCCTGCACCGCGGCGCCGCGCGCGCGCGCGACGTCGGGCTCCGCGCGCGCGTCGTCGGCCCAGGGCGCGACGTCGGCGCCGAGGCACGCGGCGAAGGACTGCGGCGCGGCCTTTTGAGGCGCGCGGTCGAGGAGCGCCTCCGTGCGCGCGCCGAGGACGATCGGCTGGCTTTCCATGAACGACGCCTCGGGCGCGCGCTCGCTGGGGAGGGCGCCGAGGGCAGCCTCGAAGGGATGGACCATCGGAATTAAATTGCTGCAGGCTTTCGTAAACCCGCTCGTAGGATTTCGGCGGAGAGCACTCGCTCCCAGGATCTCGGGTAAGCCTCAGCTGGCGGAGCGCGGCGGCGGCATGGCCGAGCCGAGATGCACCATCGTCGACATGCACAGCTCGAACTCGTGTTGAACCCGAACTTGCAAGCCCACTCGAAATAATTATGTGCAGCCCAAGCAGCATGAGCACCACCTGAATCCTTGGACGCGCCCTTGCTTCATGAAGGCCACCATCCTTCTTGCCACCATGGCCACGCGCGCCGCCGCGGACCGTAGCCGGTCCTACGCCGTGCTGTCGTCGACGCGCAACGACGCCGCCGACGTCACGTGGCTGCGGAATCCCAAGACGGCGACGACGGCCTTCGTCTACGGCGTCATGCCTCTCAAGCCCTGCGGCGACCGGCTCCGCGTCAGCGAGAAGCACGAGGTCGGCTGCGCGCGCCAGGCCTGCGGCGACGGCGACGCGGACGCGCTCCGGGGCATCGCGGCGGACCAGCGCGCGGCCGCGGCCGCGGCCGCGGCGTCGAACGCGATCGTCACGCTGCGGGAGCCCGTCGCGCGGTTCCGGAGCGCGTGGACCTTCCTGCGGGCCAAGCACCCGAACGCGACGGCCTGGCGGCGCTACGCCTGCGTCGCGGACCTGGCCCGGGCCCTCGGGTCCTTCGGCGGCGCCCGGAGCGTCAAGGGCCGCGTCGACGCCGTCGCCAAGGTCCTCGCGGAGAAGCGGAGCTACAAGCCCTTCGCCCTCTGGCCCCAGGCCTACTGGTACAACCCGCTGCTGGGGCCGAGAAACGGGTCCGCCGTCGTCGTCTGCTACGACGGCGCCGCGTTCCTGCCAGGGCAGAAAAAGGGTGATTCAACGTCGCTTCAACGTGAGTGTTCCGCGCGCGCGCGTTTCGGAAACAGCACCCACGCTTCGAGAGCGCTCCGAGAGATGATCGCTCGTCCAAAAATCAGCCGAAACGAGCGGAAAACGACCGAGATAGGAGCCTTTGAAGTTGGGAATTTCGCACCCTTTTGCTGCCCAGGTTCCTCCGGCGGACGACGGACGCGCTCGCGGCCGTCTTCGGCTGCGACGTCGGCGCCGCGGCGAACGTGTCCTTCACGGCGAACACGAAGGCGACGGCGCTGAAAGCCGCGCCGGCGGCGGCCTGCGCCGAGACGCCCGCGGAGGCCGCGGCGACGGACGCGGCGCTCCGCCGCTTCTACGCGGACGACGCGCGCGCGTGGGACGCCTACTGCAAGCTCCCCTAGCGCACGCGCCCCTAGTGCCAGAACGTGGCCCCGAGCGCCGACGCGCGGCCCTGGGGCTCGACGGCCACGGTCCAGTCCGACGCGTGGCCCGTCTTCGCGTCTTTCCGGAAGCAGGTCATGGCGATGGGCTCCTCGTGGAGCCCGGCCGCGTGCCACGTCTCGCCGAGGAAGGCGCAGTAGGGCGCGCCGCGGCTGTGGGCCATGACCTTGGGCAGCACCGTGAACGTCGACGGCACGGGCAGCACGAGCGCGTCCGCGTAGCCCAGGAGGAGCGAGTCGATGAGCATGTCGGCCGAGTTCCGGAGGCACGCGTCCGCGGAGCCCGTCATCTCCTTCTGCGCCGCGACGGACTTGTCCTTGTCGACCTCCTTGACGCGCCAGCTGGAAAACACGATGCCCGCGCCCGCGGGCGGCCGCCACTGTTCGCGCGCGAAGACGTCGAGGTCCGTGTGCGTCCGTAGAATCTCGAGCGCGACGGGGTCGTCCGTCGCCACGAGCACGCGGAAGCGGTCGTAGCCGAGCTGCGCCGCGACCTTCTTCACGCCCGCCGCGGCCCGGAGCACG